ACATTCTGTAATTTATATTTGAACAAAACAAAAAAATGGGGAAAGAAAAAAAAAAAAAATCAAAAAAAATTCAGTTTTTTTTTTTTTTTTCACAAAATAAATTTTTCCTCGCTAAATTCAAAAATGAAATATTTAAGCAAAGCTTTAAGGCCGTGTGATTTATTTAGGTATACCCGTAAAGCGCGTCAAGGTACACATATTTAAAATGCATAAACGTGAAATTTTTGTAAAATTTTTTTTTTTTTGAAGTATTTGAAATATTTTGGTAATTATTTTGTTACTTCAAAGCTTATGCTATTTTTTATTATAATTTCCTTGTGTTAAATTCAAACTTTAATAAATTTTTGAACAGAAATGAAATATTTAAGTAAAGATTTAAGGGCGGGTGATTTATATAGGTATACCCGTAAGGTATATCAAGGTAAATAAAGAAACAGATTTTTATAATGCATAAAACATGAAATTTCGTAAACTTTTTTTTTTTTTTTTTAAAACTAATATAAAATTTTTATTTATTTTTCATCATCAGCTATACCTTCAAAACAACCATTTTAGAAGAATTTTGGTTGATTTTGAAATATCTCGAATATTTCGGGTGACTAACCTCCGCTGGGCGAAGAGCTCCGGCGGAGAACACGATAAAGAACTCTGGTCTATAGAACTGGAGAACTTGGTAGAACCACGGTGGCAATTTGGTCAGCGTTCTAAGTTCGCTGGCCAGAATTTTGGAGGAGATGGCGTGGAGCAGGATGTAATCATAAGTGTTGTAGAACTAGAAATTTCAGTTGTAATGTAGTGTAAATTTTTTTTTTATATATTTTATTTAGTTGTTTAGATATTGATATTTAATGTAGTGTAAATTTTTTTCTTATATATTTTATTTAGTTGTTTAGATATTTAGATATTACAAGATTTGTTTTCAAAAAATTTTACGCGTCATTATTATTTCCCAACTTTGCCAACTTTGACAATATTTCCACTATTAAGAACTAATAAAACGAAATTATAAAGACTATTTTAACTAATCTTTACAATATTTCCACTATTAAAACGATCTTATAAAACAACTCCACCGGATATTTCCACTATTAAGACTGTGGATTTACAAGTTCATTTGATTTAACAAATTGAACTCCTGTGGAGTCCTTTGTGCTGTCGCACAAAGTTTCCTCTTTGACTTCTCTTATCCAATGCTGTGGAAGTCATAACCTTTCGCCGTTTACTTTCCACAAATTCCAACTTTCCCAAGGTACCGATTACGACGAGATAACATTGATAATATTGACCTTGAAGAAATAAATTTTGTTAGATGGCAGTTATCATCAACTTTATGGATGTAATGTCATTTATACTAACTTTTATTTTGTCTTTCTGTTGAACTTTCAATGTCGATCATTATTAGTCGTTTGTCATTTACCATTCTGCTTGGTAAATGACTACTGGTAAGGTCGGCCTTAGGGAAGTCCCAAAAATAATGCTGTTGACCTAATTTAATAATAAGAAAAAGATTTTTAGTCACCTTAAACTAGGAGGGGTACGCTCAACATGTCACGCTTAACACTAATGAATTATTGGGCGAAAGTAAAAAGAGTGGTATTAAACCGTGAAACATACCTTTATAAAAAACTAGATGGAACAACGACGACTTATAGACAGCAGAATACTGTGTTCCAACTGCAAGTGCTTCGTTACTTTAGTTAAAAAGTATAGAAAATTAAATTAGTTTATGTATTGTTATCATTTATGTTTTTTAGAGTGCTAGACAATAAAAATACCTTCTGGTGATAATTTCTCTTTTCATGTTTTTTAAGGAGTTTTGAAGTGGATTAGGTTTTGAAATTTTGTTTGTCGATTCTAATGGTTGCTTCTTATTTACAAGAGTTTTGTTTTTCTTTTCTTTTTTTTTTTTTTTTAAAAAAAAAAAAAAAAAAACCAACATTTTTGGTATGGTCGGGTGACCAAGTAGATCCATTCCTTTTATAAATAAGGGTTTTCTATTCGGTTGATGCAAAATCTGATGCATATCTCAAGAGATATGATTGGCTGAAATTTGTATCGGATTCTGCACTGGAGCCAATCAAAAAATTTCTTTTTTTTTTTGTAGTTTTCCAATACCTAAAAAAAAAACAGGTTAAAAAAAAGTTCGCCTTTACATTCTAGACAACAAAGACAGCCGATTTTGCATCAATTTTGTGTACCGAAAAATAAAAATATAATTGGTTGATCACAAAATGCATCAAAAATTTGCATCAATTTACCCCTTATATGATATAAAAAATTACATTCGATTTAAAAAAATTTATTTTATTTAATTATAATAAATTTAAAATATATTATTTAATATCAATATTAATAAATAAACGTCTTGTAATATTTAATTATTATCAAATATTATAAATAATAATAATATTTGAGTAAAACTAATTTATAAATTGAAGTAATATTAATAATTTAATATTAATTAAATTTTTTTATGTTATCAGAAGTCATATTATCAATTCTTTATTTTATTTATTATAAAAAAATCAATAATAATTCAGATTTTTTAATGATAACTTAATATTTTTTATTCTTTTTAAAAAATTATTATAAAGTATCAAAAATTAAAATATTTAAAAAAAAAAATATTTTTTTTAAAAATATTACAAAATTTTATGACTAATAAATTATTTTTATAAAGATCAAAAGTTAAAGTATACTTTATGTTTCTTATCCCTTAAAGCGTAGGTATAAATTGGTTATAAAATATTGTAGAAAAATTATAATATTATAATATCTAGTGATTATATAAAAATAAAATAATGTTTTTTAGATTTGTTATATTAAGATCTATTTAATGGTAGTATTTTTAAATTTTTAAAATTAATAATTATTAATATATATTAATTATTAAATAATTACAAAAAAATAAAAAAAAATAAAATTTAGTTTGTTAGATTTATCTCATTAAGACCTATTAAATGATTATATTTTCATATTTCTGAGATCAATAAATAGCAAGATATATAAGGTTATAATTTTAACTTTTTTTTATAAAAATTTATCATATATTTATCTTTAAAATATCACTAATTAATTACATTTTTTTTTTTGAATTTTTATTTAGAAAACATCATAAAATTTATTATAAAAATATTAATTTTTAAATAAATTATTTTAAAAATATTTAAAATTATTATAAATAATTTTAATTATTAAATAAAATTGTAGGCAATTTTGCCTGTAAAATGCTCATTTAAATAATTATTTAAATTTATATATAATGATAAAGATCACAATATTAATGATTTATAATTTTTGTTTATACTTTTTAAAAAGAATTAGGTTAGATTTAATATTCAAAACTATTAAACTATTAAAGATTAGAAACATATCTTTTGTTAATGTCTTTTTGTTAACAAATTTACAAAAAAATTTTTTTTTAAAATTTTTAGTAAATCCTTACCATTTATGGGATTATATTCAACGACCTATTAAGTTGCTTATTTTAGAAATTATGATAGCTTAGTTAATAAAATTTTTAGTTAAAATCCTTACCATTTAAGGGATTATATTCAACGACCTATTAAATTGCTTATTTTAGAAATTATGGTAGCTTAGTTAATACTAAAAAGGAAGTAAAACTTATTAGATTGATTACACGTAGGGGTAATCTTTTTTTTTTTTTGTTCTTTCGCCAAAAATATTGATTCGAAGGACGAAGAAAAAATTCAACAATCTATTTCCAATGAGAATTAAAATAAGAACAAAGGAACAAAAGATGTAATTTCCAAAAAAAAAAATTCATTTATAAAGAAGATAAAAACGGAGAGAGAGACCGAGAAGATAACTGTTTGTTGCACACTGTAAAGACACTACATTTTTTTATTCCTCAATGTTTTTACACTTTGTGTTGTGCTATACTGCTATACCCTAGATTTGGTAGGAGGCTTATCTTATCGATATGTGGTCTTTGTTCTATGAAGAAAGAATTAGAATGTGATTGATTACCCGTCGTTTGTTGTTCACATAGTTTGTAACACAACTTTGAGTATTTAAGAACAATTCTCTCTTTTTTTTTTAACAAAAAAAAAAAAAAAAAAAAATTAAAAATTTTCTCGCTTACACTCTCTCATCACTTATTCTCTCCCTCACTTAAAATTTTTTTGAAATTTCATTTAAAATTCAACATAATGTTTCCTCAACTTCCCTCCGATTGCCTTAACGAAATTTTCGAATATCTTGAAAAAGACAAGGTTACATTACATTCATGTTTATTAGTTAATCGCCTTTGGTGTGAAACTTCCGTCAAAATCTTATGGAGGAATGTTTGGTTTGACTATCACGTTTACGTATTATACCGATTGAAAGCGTTATCACAAATTCTTGGAACATTAGTTTCCTGCCTTCCTATCGAATCCAAAAGACTTTTACATAAAAATAAAATCTTTATTGATACACCAACTTCAAAATCACCATTATTTAATTACGCTTCTTTTGTTAAGGTGCTCTCAATTTATGAAATAGATCAAATCGTACAACATGCTCTTGAAAGTCAACAATTCAATACTTTGAGGAGTTTGAATTATAATAAATTTTTGATAACGCAGGAAATATTGAAGATGTTCATGTCACAGATGTCTCCGTTAAAGGAACTAATTTATCATTCCGAATTTGAAGAGATTCCATGTGTACACTTTGCATATTTCCCTGGTGCGATCAATTGTTTAAAATTCCTCCAAGTATTCATCTGTAGCTCCGATTTGTACTCCGAGTTTTATTACCAATTATCTCAAGTTTGTCAACAAATACAATCTCTTACTATAAGATTTAAGGCGATCTTCTCAAACGGGCTAAAAGATTTGATCTATTTACAAAATAATCTGGAGTTTCTAACCTTAACTCATTCTGATGGCTGGACGAACGCTACGGATATTTCACCCTTATTTACAAAACATTCCAACAATTTAACCAAATTAGAGATACGCGGGGACTTTCCATTAATGTTTATTTCTATATTTACAAATTTACGAGAATTAATCTTATCCCCTTTTGGTGATCGTAAGGATTTACAATATGTGATCATTCCACAATTAAAGAACTTCAGATTTTCGTATGGATTTCCGGAACCCGAATACCTGTCAAAATTCCTAGAAAATAATGGTGGCAATTTAGAGGAACTTTATCTTAATGCCAGTGAGGATTCATTAAATTCAACGATTGCCAAATTTTGCCCGAAACTCAAATTACTATTTACAATATTTATGGAAGACGAATTAGAAACGTTGAAAGGAATTTTGAATGGTTGTAAACTTTTAGAAAGTCTCAAGGTTTGGTGTGGCGAAAAGTATTTAAAGGAAGAACAATTGTTGGAGATTGTTTCAAAGTATTCACCAAAAAATTTTTACGAGTTAAAAATATTTTATATATGTAATGTGGGGAAAGAATTATATCCGAAGGAATTAGAATCTTTTTTTATAAATTGGATGAATCGTACACCACAACAATTACTTTCTTTCGTTATTATCAAAGGATATAATAGTTCAAATAGTTTGGTGGATAATAGAGGAAATTTGGAAGTCGTTGAAAAGTATAGATCGTTGGGTATTTTTAGAAAATTTAGAGCCGTAACGTTTGAAGAAGATTAAGATGAATTCTTTATATGTAATTTTTTTTCTAAGAAAACCTTTTACCTTTTTTCTTCTTTCTTTTTTTTTTCCTTTAACAAATTTACTGTATATTTTAATCTATCATATAAAATAAAATGAATTTCATGAATATTTCTTGATTTCCGAAAAAATATTTTTTTTTTTTTTTTTTTTATTACCATTTTGAGAACTCAAATTTTATAAGAAACTGCGGAATGTCGATAGATCCAATAAGGAATTAACCATTGTTAACAAGTGGACCAATCACGTATCGACTCAAATTTTGAGCGGGGCACCTCGTGTAACATGTGGCTAATATAAGAAAGTCCTTCGCTTCGCTCCGGACTAACTAGACTAGGTAAGATAATCGAAGTTCATTAATAATAATCTGAAACTTATAGAACAGGGGCCAATGTTCAAGGCGTTTGTGTGATACAAGGGAACTGGTGTATCTAATACAACTTGTAACGAATGGACGAGTATGGCACGTGACATGGATAACGAGCTCTAACGTTATGGAAAGTTAGCTAACTTTTATCCGATCCTGAAATCATCATGTTTTAATGATAAACACTAAACCTACTACGTTTATTGGAAAAAGAACGTGATGGAAATCAATGATTATCACTTCCCAGGGTGTCATGAAAGATAGTCATATCCTTTTTGCTCAACCGATAAAATAAACGTATGAATATGTGGCTTTGCTGAGATTAAAGAAAGAAGGTCAAAGACGGGAACGATGGAAAGAATTAATTAATTATAAATGGTAGTAACAAATCATCAAAATCAACTTTGGTTCAAATCTTACAAAAAAGTTTTTACAAATGATAATACACATATACGGTAGATATTTTTGTATCACAACAAATAAAATTCATTGTTAAAAAATTTCTTTGTTTGATTGGTCGATTACAATTAACCAAAACGTTAATTATCTTTCGGTTAGGTTAATTAACGCCCATCCCAAGGTCCTTTTTCACCATGCTTCAACGCCTGTAAAAGTTTTCTTTGATCATATTCGCTCCCAACTATAAAATGGGTTGGTGAAATTATTCGCGTAAACCAGCCGAAATACCCTGCGTGGGAAAATCAACGAAAGTTTTCAAACCTATTGATACTCAATTCCTTGTCCACCACAACGTTTTTTGAATAAATTTTTTGAAAATCGTTTAAATTTCATTTATGAATCTTGATATCATAAGTACTTGTTCTGTCCACCTGACTTTGCAATAGTTGTTGCTAAATGATGTAACATGCGCGTTGTTGAAGTTGATAGTCAAGAATTGGTGTAACATCTATTATTGAAATACAAAAATTAAATTTGAAAATTTAGTGATAATATTGAAATAATCTTAATCTTTCATTTTGGTACGATTCTACCAGAAAGTAAGTTGTAAGTCAACTTAAATCACAATTTGCATGGGTAGAAATACATTTAGTAATGAATTGATCGTTAAAAAAATAAAATTACATCACATACCATTATTACTCCCATATATTCAATTATATCATACTATAAATAAAATAATAAAATCAATCGGAATTATAGAAATGCCTTAATAAAAGCTCAGAAACATTATATTTACTTTTTCTCGCGAATTCTGACAAGTATAGATGTATTCTTTCATTCTGGCCACGAATTATAGTTTGAGCAAAAACAACAGTCCATTTTGCATGAATAGCAGACTAGTCCACGAAATATTTAAATATCTGTAATATTAATAACCTTTTCTTTTTTTTTTTAAAAAAAAAAAAAATGAAAATTTATTTATCGTTTTGAAACCTACGTTTTTTTTTGGGATCCAATATTTTTTGAGCTAACGATGTCGGTATTAATTATAAACTCTCTTTTGTCAAAATCATATATAGCAGCAGTTTTCATTTCCACCGCCCAGCTCTGTTAAAGCGAAGCAATCAACTGTCCGCGTCATCGCGCAAGGAATAATATATCTATAACGTTCAGTTCCAAGTTTAATGTTTCCGTTTGCATTGTTTAATTAAACTAACTGCAAATAGAAATAGAAAAAAGTGGGGTAAAAAATTGTGCCGATTACCAAATCAGAACATGCAAATTACCTTACCAGCAAATACTTTCTAGCTGGAATTCAGATTCTGCTAATAATTGAGCATCAAAATCTTCGTATGTCGCTAAGTATTCTTTCAATATAGCCAAGAATGCGTAGCGTGTTGTAATCGCGTCAAAGCTCTACTTTCCGTGGATTTTTCAAAGAAAATTGACATGTTTGAGAGAAGTATAAACGCGCAATTTAGCATTTCAAAACCGAAGAAAATTTTCAAAGACGTGTACAGATCCTTATGAATACATTTTGATCATTATTTATGCCCGAAGAGAATATAAGCGAAAATCATAGGGGAATTGAAGAGGCAGAGCTTGTGAATGATCATGTTATTGAAAAATATATTTAACAGAGAATTTCAACTTATTATTTATCGAAAATGTATGTAGAATTTAATTCCATTTGTTGTTCTTTGATAGTTCAATTTGTACTTAGGTGCATTATGTGAAATAATATCCTGTATCATTCAGAGTAATTTATTTCTGTAAATACTAATTTACATTTTATATTAAAAAGGTTTTTGACAGGAATGGTTAATCAGAAATCTATGGATAAATACGAAAATGAAGCTAAAGAACAAAGATGGGAGACATGGTATTCTCATGGACTCTTTATACAAATAAGGAAGTACGTGCATTTATATTCAATATATTTATCATATTGATTTTATTATCATTTCCAATTGACTTTTGACTTTTTTTATTTCACAGGAAAAACAGTAGAATGTGGGCGTGCTTATTTTGAACAGATAGATAAAATTTATGTACCTTGTATGATTGGCGACGACTCTTAAGCAGATGTTAGAATATCGGTATGATATTTAGAAAAGATTTACAACGGGATTTTAGAGAACCGTTTAAACATGTGAACATGCCGTTCTTTGATGCTTGCTTGACTTTCAAATTATGAAGCCATGCACGATTCCTTACTTTGAACGTTCTTTTGATAATGATACTCTTGAAAGAGGATGACATTGAAACCTGGTTCGTTTATTATTGATCTGCTGAAGGAGCATCAAGCGTTAAAGGAGATCAGAAGTTTGAATAATCATCTGTTGTGCATTTAATGATGAACCTTAAGGTTCCAACAGAGACAAATTAAATACAGATACTTAATACCTCCTAAGGAAATGCTCATATGAAGGATAAGGTTCCGTTTTTTTTTTTTTTTTTTTTTTTGGAAAAATATCAAGATAACGTGTCGATTTATATCATGTAGATCCATTCAGTATTTTTTTTATTAAAGGTTTTTCTCTTTCATATTCATGAATATGATTGTTAATTATGAAAGTTATATCTTAAAATTTACTCGTCGGCCTTAAAGATTGTCTGTATTATCATATGTAAGTAGCTTTTATTTAAGGTGATGCTTGATGTTTCAATAGATACCGTATATTGATGCCTTTTGATTTAACGGAAAAAGTGATAAAGCCAACGAAAATGAAAAGAACAAACTTTGGTGCAGTTTTCTCTGTGAAATTAAAAGAAAAGGAATATTAATTTGAAGTAGGCCATTTAAAAATGATGGGATCGCACAATATAAATTATGTAATTTCTTCATTGGTAATAAATTAACTTTAATATAATTTTTATTTTACTTTATGGAGTTTAAGAAAACCTATTGTAAATTTAACTAAAAGTATTTATTATAAACAAATAGTATAATCATAAACCTGAAAACTATCAAAATTTAAACATTAAGAATATTACAACTATAAAGGAGAGGAATTTATTTAGGGAGGAAAATATTGATTTTTCTATAAACACCAGGCCAGGTAAAGTAAATAACGCGTTTATTTACGAGAATTTTTTTGAACAAAAAAAAAAAGAATATTTGAAGGCTTTCAGTGTGAAAAAGAGAAATGTCACCACAATGTTAGACAAGCATTCATATTAATAATATAATAATTTCAAGCAATAATTTAAAACCCACCAAATCATTTTTCTTCTCTTATTAAGAAGAGAACGAGTAGAACAGATGGGCTTTTGATTAGCCCACCATATCAATACGTAAGTTGTTCCTCGTTCTCTTGGAACCATCGGTCCGAATCGGTTTTACTTGCTTCGGATTCTTGACCTTTCGAATAGGTTCCTTATTCTTTAGCTTCTTTTTGTCCTTTTCCTTCTCGTTTTCTTTTCGCGAATTTACGAGAACGGCTTCTTTTCCAAAAAGATTGGACGTTAATTTTAGAGTTGTCAGTAAATGACAAGGAATATGTTTGTATTTTTTAGTGAAGTTAGGAATGTACATTTTGAGAGAATATTTTTGTTAAATTTTTTTTTTTGTGAAATTTTTTTTTGAAATTTTTATTTGGTGCTTACGAGACCAAGAAGTGTTGCTTTTATATATAAATGATAATCTTTTTTTTTCCTTCATCGCGTATTGCAAATGATAAAATGATAATCTTTTTTTTTTTCTTCATCGATCTCATCCAGAGACCCGGAAAAATTCCGATATCAAATCGTAAATTTTTATCACGATAACAGCAAAAATTCCGATTTTATTCCG